TAATTACTGACGAAAGTTTGGTTTTTACTGATCATTTTGGTCTCCGTATTCTTCCTGGGTCGGTTTCAGCATTTCTTGACTTTCGGCACGATCTTCAGTGTGTTACATAATTAACAGAATAATCAACAACTACAACACAACACTAACACATTCCACTATTACTAATAATAGTACATTAAATATATCAAATACAAACAAACAAGCATACATTTCCATACCATTTATTCAAGGTCTATCACACAAATTAAACACATTTCTCTCGTCCGATAACTTCAAAATAGCTTTCAAAAATTATAAAACAATCCAAACACTTTTTTCCAAAGTTAAAGATCCCACACCAATAACAAATAAATCTGACGTAATCTACAAGATCAACTGTTTAAACTGTCCGGCAACTTACATCGGTCTTACATCCCAATATCTGGACAAGAAAGTAAAACAACATATCTATGATTGCAAAAAACCCAAGCAAAATCCTACAGCACTCGCTACCCACCACTTTGAACACCAACACAATTTTGACTTCAAAAATCCAAAAATATTACATACACAACAAAACAAATATAAAGGTAATTTCTTAGAAATGGTTTATATCAACAGAGATAAAAACAGCATCAATTACAGAACAGATACATGTAAACTCAGTCGCAGTTACGCCAATATCATTAACCAAATACAATATAGATAACTTACATATATCGTTACATTACATTCCACACATCAAATACTTTTCACATAGTCTAATTTTCCAACAATTTAGCTTTCCTTTTCCTATTTATCCCCTTTCTATATAATCCTGAAAGGACAATCTGGCCGAACTATTACCAACACATTGTTCCCCTTTGTCGGCTTATTTCACGCCTTAAACAAAATTGTCTTTTATATACCGACTTCCTTCCCCACCCTTCAAAACCAAACATATATAAACATAAAACAGCAAAATCTCACTGGCACTCTCAACACGACACGCAAGGATGGCACAATTACACAGAAGACAAACACTTTGAATGAGTAGAAATACTTTGTTTGAATATAAAATATATTTTGCATTGTATAAATTCACTTTTCCACATCCTAAATGTAATTGTTAAATGTAAACATTGTTTGTAAATCCCAGGCCCTGAAGATGATCTCAATAAAAGATCGAAACGTTGGCACGATAAAGAAAATGTTTTTCTGAGACCTACATCACACCCGACCGCATCTCACGATATCTGAATAACTATCGATTAACGGCCACTAATCTCTACACGTGTATTATTTATATTAACATATATGTTTTAGTTGGTTCTATGAACCAAAGTAATTATTTCAATTCATTTATTTATTTTTTTCAACTCACCCTCACTTTACATAAAAATAATTCAATGAAATTGTATTATATTAAGACTGCAGATTTATTTGAAGACCTTCAGGCATTAAATATTTCTCTTTACAGTAATGTCAAGCAAAATGGTGGTTAAGTTGGTTTTTATTTTTTTGAACGCTCCGGCATATTTGACACACATTCACAACATGATTCTTAACCATAATATTAAAAAAAATAATCAAACAAAAACCATATAAGTTGCAATTTGTTTTTCCAGTTTTTATTAATTATTTAGGTAAGATCAATAGAAGTTGAATAATTTTACTCAATTGTTGAAAAACTGAGATGGATTAAATCAATATACAAAGGCTTGTTTCGACCGAGTTCTGTCACTCATTAATATTAATGATTGAATTCGATATATAATCAGATCTTTGTACAGACCAGTTGCAAGTGACGAATTGTGTAAACAATGTATATAAAATAGTGCGAAATCATTGATGCGCTATTGACGTCTATTTAATCAAATCATCCCAGATCCAAGTAATTTCGCTATCGAATACGATTCCTAGACTATTAGTTATTTCATTTCATTACTTGCATCGATAGGAGAGTTAATCTTGTTCTGTACCTTTAATGCAAAGGAACAATGATTCTTGACTATCAACCCGGCATAATAAAATGTTACGTTAGGCTATTTCCTTCATATTACATAAATAAACCATGAGTTTTATTTTTATTTTGTTAATTTTATAAGGTAGGTTAATGATTAAAGATGATACTTTGCGTATTTGTACCTGTGCTTTAATCATTTACGTTTAATTCATAAATTTTAAAAGTAAAAAATTTTAAAAAATGTAAAATTTTCACGGTTTTATGTGTTTGTCTACTTTCTGGATAATATTCGTTGTATTTCAGTTTATAAAGAATTATAAGAAACAAAAGTTCATGACTAACAGGATGCCAGAACGTTTCGTATAAAGTATCATTTTTAATGCATTAAAGCTTCTTTCCTCCTAAAATTGGTCTAATAAAAGATAAAAGACCGTTGGTCGGACGGATAAAGAGAAGAAACCCCCGAACTGCCAATACCCGAAGTTGGTGATTATCAATCCTCGCGGCGATAAGTCAAGATCAATTTTGTACATATGTGATTTTATAAATAATAAGGAAATAATAATAAATAAATAATAAGGACAACTCGAAAGAAAAAATAAACTATTGCTCTTAGGCAGAAACATTTTTCTGATAGAAATAAAATTACCTCAAGGCCAATACGGATATGATTTCGTTAGTTTTCATTAGTTTATTTATTTATGTAGTTTAGTTTATTAAAATATTTTATAAGCAAATTGTAATTGTACAACATGTACATACAATTTTTCTTAGTGTTTTTTCTGTATATAATATTTCTTATGTTATACCTTCATAACAGGTTTATTCTTTTTTATGGACAAGAGCTGTTGATCTGCAGTGTGTGAGAGTTGTTTTTTTCTTGATTTAAATACAATTGTTATCCTAATTATATGTGCAAATGATTTCTTATAAAAAAAACGTTATAACAACATGCACATTTGTACGACACACTTTATTTGGAAAATTGCACGTTTGGTAATTTGTTTTTATTTTATTTTATTTGAAACGTTCCCTAAAATAGTTACTCTGGAAAGAAATAATTGGTTTTGAAATAGAGGAAAACATCTCTAAACAGAGGGTTGACGGTCAAATAAATTCATAGGCAGTTTTCGTACCAAAAATTACGATAAAATGTAATAGCTTGAAAGGAAATTTTCAGAAAATGATAATTAAAATCAAGTGGTTAAATATTATCTTTATATTTTTATACCTAGACCACTGGGAAATTTTAAAATATTAACGTTTGAAGATTTTTTGGCTGGGTTGTTTATGAAAAATACATTTGCGAAAATTGTTGTCGAACCAGGTCATGGTTATATGTAAAATGTGAATTTATTTTGAATTTTGATGGAAATTGAATTAGCTGTTTTTTTCTTTTTCTTTTTTTAATAATAAATGGGGTCATGACATTATGACAGTTAACCTGTGCCACGTAACAATCGTTAGGTTCATTCCTTAACATCGAACTTACGTGTCAAAAGAAATTTGCAGAATTGATAAATCCTTAATTGTAACAACGTCATTTACTGAATTATGTATTTTCCCGATAAATTTAGAAACATTGGCGTTTAACATTTTTAACATAAATCTCACATCAGACGTTATTCTGTGTACATGTATAACCGTTTTTTCCGCAAGGCTCGATGTTTTTAGACGATTTTTTTATTTTCTTATAAATTAAAATGTTTTTATTAACAAAACCTTCTAAACTACAAATTAAATTGATTTCACCGTGGTCTAAGCCGTTGATGGGGATTAATTTATTAATAATAGCCAAATTAATGGGGACGTGTAGAACTTTGTTATCACCTCTTACTTTGCGGAAATTTTATTTTTTGGTACTAATTTACATTGGAGATTTTTTGCTTCATTTAAGCTTCATTGGCACCACGAAAGCGCCGTAAGTTTCAGACGCTGAATGTACGGTTCATTAGAAATAGTCAACTCAACGTATTTAAAAAGAAAATATGAACGATTTTTTCTCGCCCAGGGACAATAAAAACATTGACATTTTGCAATCGTTACAAAAGAAGAGTTTTTAAAATATGGTAAATTACTTACGTACAAACAATATTTCCCGGTTTATAAAAAAAGTTGATATTAAAATATTACGTGTAGAGATTAGTGACCGTTAATCGATAGTTATTCAGATATCGTGAGATGCGGTCGGGTGTGATGTAGGTTTCAGAAAAACATTTTCTTTATCGTGCCAACGTTTCGATCTTTTATTGAGATCATCTTCAGGGCTCAAAGTGTTTGTCTTCTGTGTAATTGTGCCATCCTTGCGTGTCGTGTGAACACAACACGACACGCAAGGATGGCACAATTACACAGAAGACAAACACTTTGAGCCCTGAAGATGATCTCAATAAAAGATCGAAACGTTGGCACGATAAAGAAAATGTTTTTCTGAAACCTACATCACACCCGACCGCATCTCACGATATCTGAATAACCTTAAAATATTACGTTTGGTAAATACACAGATTTTATGGATCACAGATGGAAAATGCGTCTTACGGCCTGAAAGCAATTTCTGTTGTTTCACTAAGAACCATGCTGTACAAATAATTAACCCGATAGGTAGTTCCACATTTTTAGAATTGATAAAGTTGAGATGAGTATGTAGATTCATTTTTTGTACATGATGGCTCTACTCACAATAATGAGTATCATCAGAAAGAACCATAATTCTGTGAGAAGAACCATTTTTTACAATTGTCTATATTATATTAGAAGTTTCGGAACATTTAAGTTTTAGATTTTCAGTGAAATTACACGATTTTGTTTTGTATCGTTTTGAAATGATATTGAGTGATCGATCAGAAATATTGATTGAAGAATGGAAGCATGAAAGCTGAATTGTTGTTGGAAAAGCCAATAGTTAACGTGCGTACACAGCTGAAATAGGGTCTTTCTACCGGTGTTTACTTATGGGACCGGACCACCGCGACATGTTTATGCCATTACCGAAAAGGCGATGACAGATGATCACGAGCGTGAGGTTAAAAAAATTGTTTTCCATGCTAGACATCCTATATTCACGCTAGCTTACCTCGCATCGAATCCATGGCTTTCCAGGATGGCGTAAAGCTCGTGAAAAGCCCCCCGGTGGTAGGCGACCAGAGCTCTCGCCCTGAGTACCGCTTCGTGCCCACGGAGGAGTTCGTTGGGCGGAAGAGACCAGAGGAACCTGGCCAGTTTTTCACAATCGCCGGATTGATGAAGGGCATCGCACACTGTCGAGACCTGTTCGGGGGTGAACGAAACGCCTCGTTTTCCGTATTCGGATTTGTACCTTGCAGCCGCCTGATAATCCGTTTCGGTCGACTCCATCGCTGTGACTGAAGACCGAACAGGTTCAGGGCGGGGCTTACCATCCCCCTTATGTCCCCTCCAACGACGGTCCGCACCCCTCTCTGGATCATCCTCCCCCCACACAATCTATCCGTATGTATTATCGCTTTGATTGCTTTTATAATAAACTAGCTTATGGAATCCTGTTACTCCGACTCCCAACGCCATTCGATACATGCAATAATCTAATTAAACTATAATCAATGCGGGGCTCACCTTGAAGGGGAAGAGATCAGACACCTTTTCCTGAAAAACCAACAAAAAAACACCCCATGAAAAGCAATCCTAAGCCATGCTTTACATAGCGTTTAATAAAACATGTATTTAGGATTTATTGGTGCTTCTGAACAAGACCCCTTAAGCAGAATTTCGATCCTTTATAGACTCATATATTTAGCTCGTTGGAGGTGGATTTAGGGGAAAAATACTGTGTCAGGGCAGCGGACCCCGTTCATAGAACAAAATCCAGGGCAGACCCCTGGAATTCAAGAATTTAAAATTAGTTACTTATAATTGTCGTACGGTAAAGTTTCATAAATTAAATATTTTTTACTCTTCTTTTCCGATTGTTGACTTTTTATATTTCTTGATTTTATTTTCAGGAAGTAGACAACTATCAAACTCATTTTCTTTTTATTGATGTCGATTTCGGAAGCATATCCAAAAAGAAAACGAGACTCATGAGGGAAGGCTGATATCACCGAAAACGATATCAATAGGTGAGTTTGTTGGTTGTCTAGCTCCTGAAAAAAAAACTCAAGAAATATAACAATTTCATAAATTATCATTATCCAGTCCATTCCTACTTAGGTGATGGAGAAGGACATCACTATGAAAACAAACATTTGATTGACATACTCCACATTATTTACAAAATTCGGAACACAACTGGAGCCAATTTCAAAAGTAATAATTTTAACATTAGTGATTAATGAATTAAAGGATAGAGTGAGGTTGTTTTAGCCTGAAAAATTTAGAAATGTTGGGTTTAAGTATTGATAGCCGAAGTTCGGGTTCAGCATGTAGACAGCTTCGGAATTTAATTTTGGTGGCTGTATAGATATAAAATCCGTAAACTCCGCCAATTATTTATTTAAAATGTACTACATTTTGAATTTTATCCTATTGTTCTATTCTTGAAATTTGGGCGTAACCGATCATTTGGTCTTCCTATCCTCGCTGGGGACATTTCAAACATTTTTTGTCTGTATGCATATTTTCAAAACAAACCAAAGATAAAAACAATGGATAACTTTTGAATACGAAAACAGAATTAACATTTGAAAAAACACTACACCAACGGTAGTTATGAAAATAAAAAGTTGGAAACTTATTCAATCATGTTTTCTTTTCATACACCTGAAGATTTCAGTGTAAAAAGGGGATAACTCAGTTTTTACCAAACTGAGCTGAATTTACCTCTAGATATATTTTCTAATATAATAGAGGACATTATTGGTTAAACATAGAGAAAAATAAGGAATATTCGGACGGGTACATTTAAAAAAGGAATTACGTGCGACTTGGCATTAGAAAACAGAATTACACTGGGTTCTCTATGCGATTCATCTGTGAAAGAAATTTGACTCAGTTGCAATATTTTCTTTCCTAACCTAGTATCTAGAATCAAAAAAAGTTCAAGAAAATCTATAATTTCACTTCAATCCACTTATTCTGCAACTTTACTCGTGGTCGTTTTCTGACAATACTCTTAAACAGGGGGATTCAGTGGCTGCAACGATTTAGGCGTTGACTCGGCGTTCATCACTTTAAGGTAAAGGTCCCGGGTTCGAATCCAGCGGCCCTGCAACCCGACATACACGTGGCCTTTTTCCAAACCGCAAAGGCAAAATACCTTAATTTTTTTTATCAAAAACTATAAAATTGGTTAATCAATGTCGTTAAAAAAAAAATGTTTCCAGTGATGTGAATTTACGTTAAAATTGAAGTCTTTTCCTCAAAGTGTAGCTTAACTTCTACTAGGTTAGATATAGAAAACAGAAAAACGTCTTTTTGTAAAAATAATTTTACTAATAGTGTCAGTAGAACATTATATTTATGACAGTTTACAAAAATAAATAAATAGATATATGTCATAAAAATAAGATCGATCGTATTTCAATTATTTCTATATAGAGTGTTGAATATTTTATTTATGAACAAATTATTTTCTTTTTCTCTTGTTTTGATATTAAAGATATCGGCGTAAAAATTTAACCTTTTATTTTCCCATGAAAAAGAACAATCTAACCGTTTTCAATAGTCAAATACATTTGTGGATATACACAATTAGTGGATGTATATATATTATTATTATTTGATTATGTTGGCCTTTCTAATAAGATATCCCAAAAACAATTACATTATTTCTGTCCATCAATTACTTTCATTGAATACTTTGTTAAGCTATTTGGCCTGACATCTAATAAAATAACGTTAGTGTTGCTATTGCCATATTATGAAAAGAGCGAAGGAGTATTTATTGCAAATGTTAATAATTTGTTTATCTTGTTTATTGTTTCCATAAATTAATAGGAATTGATACGATCACCGTAAAAGGTTGACATGCTGCCAAGCTAGTAGTTCTAAGGATTTCTCTTCTCACACGATATCACAAATGTAACTATTACTCAAGAAATTCCTTAATTGGTAATTAACTGTTTTTGTTATTTCTGTCCGTCAATTACGTTCATTGGATTGCTTATTAAATCCTTATAACTCTAACCTGATTATTTTAGTCTGACTATCCTCGCTGTTTTCATCTAGCAGATTTTTATCCAACCAATGCAAAAAAGACAGTCATAGATATTAAAAAAACGAAAGGGCGGTTATTATTGTATGCGATAGATGATTGATTAATATTTCTTATGGGAGCAAAAAATATTTATTATTTTGTTTGTCTCGGTCGATTGTTTCCATGAATAAATTGTAAAGAATACTTTCACTAGATTTAGTATATAATTTTCGTTGATCAAATTTTCCAGTGATGTCAGGTCTCGCAAAAAAATTGTCTCCCTGTTGAATCACTTTCAATTCACAGCTCCTTTATATTTTTCCTTTAACCGACTTCCCAACATCTTAGATTTTTATCTATCAGAGAGGTTTACTTCCTGTCGGCCATTTTTTTGCCCTTTTTTGTAAACATTTCAAAGAATTTCCCATTGAAGATACCATTTCATTGTGTTCCACGGACGTTCCCATATAAAGACGCGTATTCCCAGGTGCAGCGAAATTCGATACGAACAAGATCTACCTGCGGCAGCGGTACGCAACAAACTGCGACCACGCCTACAACCGTCAATTTTCAGTTCAAAGGGGCTCAGAGGATGATGAACGCGGTTAATATTACTAATGCACACATACAATTACGAAAGGTACATGTTAACGTCGTCTAACAATAGGTAAACTACAAAAATCTACTCTTGTTAAATTATTTCCTTATGAAACAGAGAGAACAAGAAAAAGATCAACCGAAATTACAAACAGATAATTGTATGCACCAAAACTAAAAATATTGTTGATTTATCAAATCTTTGCATTGATCTCCCCTGTAAGAATGTCAACAGCGGACAATTTTAACTATTTTTGTTGATTGTTAGTTCATGAGTTTGCCAGGGATTTTTTTTTATAATTAGTAATTATAAATATATACATACTTGTTTGTAAACTAAATTAAAGAAGATCAGAAATCTATGAGTTTTATAAAAATTATTTTTACACCAAAACGCCGGAAAATCATTTGGTGATAGAATTATTAGTTAAATTTTAATCTATCACTAAATGATTTTCTGGTGAATTAGTTTTTATTAAAACTCTTTAATTTTTGAGTTTGCTTAATTTAGTTTACATTAAAATAATTATGTTGTAATTAATATAATGATAAAAATGCATACGTATAGTGTGAAATAAACAAAAGTATACGAGTGTCGGTTTTTTTCTTCTTTGAGTATATATATATATATATATATATATATATATACAGCGAATTGCGGTTAGAATTACAACTTCACATAGTTATTGCAAACCACAGAAGGAGGAAATTTGTGGAGAAAGAAAGTGTTTATCCTAACGGATTCAAGGTCGATAGAGAACGTTAAAAATTTCAGCTTACTCATATATGGTGTTCAAAATTATGGAACTCGGTCAGAGGCTATTAGAACGTCAGGTCGAATGAACCTTCTGTTGGATACGGGGCCATAAAGGGGTCCAAGGCAATAAGCTTGTGGACAGCAAGAAGTGAAAAAAGGGCAAAATTTAGAATCCTGGAGGAGTTAAAAGGCAGTTTGAAAAAGGAAGTATATGACACGTGGAACAAGCAAATAGACCCCTACTCGACTGGTAAACTTTACCGGTATATAAACCCGACGATCAGCAGGAGACCGTGGTACGTTAACTTTCCAATGTCTCAAAAAGAGTGCACTACAATAAACACAATCAGGCCTAACTACGGAATAAGTGGAACAAATTTGAAGAAATTAGGACAAAGACGGAGTGACCATTTTGGTATGAGAAGAGAGGGAATTCCTGGAACATCTCACAATAAAATGCAAAAAGTATAATAATGAAAGAACAAAGATATTGGACAAGCTATACAGAATTGGAAAGGTGATCAAGCCGTTTAATTATAAATCCGTACTGCAATTAAATGATTTGGAAGTGTACAATGCAGTTCTAAGGGCTACGGAGTTAAAAATTTGATCAGAAAATGAAGGGAATCAGATTGTCTCTGAGCCAATTGCCAGAGAACCAGAGAAGCAAAGGAAAAAATAACTTCACATGGTTCCTCTTTTTATCGCACAACCTAAAAAGTATAGTGCACATAATAATTTATATACCTCTGAAGACACCCCTCCAATAGAGCCGAAACGCCGGGAAATATAATGAAATAATGTATAACAAACTGATCTCCTTTCTCCCCAGGCCGTTAGTTGAGGTAACAATCAACAAAAATGGTATACAATTATTTCAACCAATTTATTAATCGTCTCAGCCAATTTAATTATCATTTCATTCA